GGGCGGCTCCCCCCCTTCCCTCCCCCCCCCCCCCCCCCCCCCCCCCCCCCTCACACAACCCCCCCCCCCCGGGCCGCCCCCCCGCCCCGCAAGGCCCGGGCCCCCCCCCCCCCGCCCCCGTTTTGGGGTCTCGTGCTCGCCCCAGCTCTGAGCACAAAGCCACCCATTGTGGAAGCAAGGAAGGGTTTGGTCGAGGCCTAATATCCTCCGTGCTTTTAGCCCCGCCGATAACATCAGGGCTCCTGCCCAGACTGGCCCTCGGCCCCAAGCGGCCATTTGTGTGCTTTGAATAGAGAGCGCTGCCCCCTCCGCCTGGGGGCTGCCGGCACATCCTCCGGCCCGGCCCCCGCATTCAAGCCAGCCATTGTTGGGTTTCTTGGTGGTTGCGCTCCAAGGTGAGCTGTGCCAAGAGCTCTCTTGATAAAGGAGTTTAAGCACTTCGGAGACTTTGTTTTCTAAAGGCTCTGACAAAACAGTTCATTGGCAGGACTTCCTCCGAGATAGCAGGGCGGCTATTAAGGTCCAGCTGCAGCGATAAAAGCCGGCCAGGCAGCGGAGGGGATGGAGGGGAGCTCTGGTGGCGGCGGCTGCTGCTGCTGCTGGCACTGAGGGAGCCGGGCTGCCCGCCCGTCTGCCCGCCCGCCTGCCCGAGTCTCGCGAACGGCTGGCTGGCCGGCCTTCCCTTCTGAGGCGGTGCCTTTCCAGGCTTTCATCCCTGGGGGTGAGTGAGGCACCTGAGGCCCAGGAGACGATGGGGGCCTGGCGGCCTGGCTGAAGCAGGAGCCAGAAGGGAGCAGGACAGGCAGGGCCAGCTAAGGTGGCTGGGGGGGACGGGGGGACGGGACACTTCACCCCCCAGGGTCTCCGTGGATCCTCTCAGCTTTGGCCTCCTGCCCTGCAGGGGAGGGAGGGGTGCCAAAGCGGCAGAAGGCGGGACTTGCTCTGGGTGGGGGCGGGGGCCTCGCTTTCGGCTGAAGTTGCTCCCGCAAGGGCAAAACCATCTGGAGAACCAAGTGTCAGACAAGCTCTGTGCCCAGTTAGCATTTCTTACGTCTTCCGATCTGGCCAGGAGCTTGGTGCCATTTGCCCTTTCGGGGGGCAGAGCCGCCTTTCAAGGGAACAGCACGTTGAGAGCCGCAACATCCCCACCGTCATCTATTATGATTGGTTGGCCAGATGTTTAGAGAGGATTTGGCTGCCTTATCCACTTCCTAGCTCTACGCCTGGGCTTTGCTACGAAACTATGTGGCCGGGCTTAGTTTTTGGGGAGGAAAATAAGGGGGAGAAATTCTGCCTCTGCCTACCAGCATCCATCTGAATACCACCTGGTTAGCGTCCTGTCAGTGTGTGAGAGAATTGAGGGCTGTTTGGAAACTGAAACAGTATTTGCTGTGAGCAAGGAGACAGCAAGGAGCCTGGGTGTAGCTAAGCTCAACTGTTCTGTACTAAAGCTGCTGTGAAACTGAAAGTGAATCTCCTCTCCTCTGCTTGTGTTTTGCATTTGGAAGAGATTTCTTTTCAAGTGAGGAGTGGGAGTAGAACTCCTTAGCATCAGAGTGTGTTAATAATAATAATAATATAGGAAATACTCTAAATGCTTTGATGGTCATTTCGAAAAATCCTTTCTTAGTGAGGTCCTAGAAGCAAAGAGGAACCTACCTGCCAAATGTCAAGTTTGAAGGCTTTATGGTTCTGGAGATTTTGTGATGATGCATGAGGGGTCTTTCGCTTTTATATGTATAGAAGAAGAAGAAGATAGGATGGTATTAAAGGTATTGTCCCCAAAGTTAAGCCCTTGGGAGCAATTGACTGACAGTGATTTTGTCAATGCCGCCGGTGTTCAAGAGGGGTCTTTCGATTGCCCCCAAAGCTTCCATCATTACTGTTGGCATGATCCTTGCTTTCTTGGACTACAGTCGTTCCACTTCCCTTTGCAGGTCCTTTGTAAGTTGGATTTTCTCCAGTTTTTCTATCCTGTGTCTCCAGGTATTGCAACATCCATTATTCAGATATATTTTTTTTGTCTGTCTTATCAAAAGTTGCAAAGTCTGGAATGTTCTGTGCCTGGTCTGTGCCTGTAGGTTTCCATTCGAAAGTCCCAGAGCTCTTTAGAGCTGCTTTGTTTTCTATGACTTTCTCTACTTTATGACCCCACCGGTTCTTGCTTCCAGGCAAATGATATTTCTTGAAGATCGTTGTTGCCATCTTGTCATGCCGTTGCTTGTAGTCGGTTCTTGGGATCTCCTTGTGGCAGCTAATCCAGCGGTCGGCTATTTCTTCACCTTCTTTGCAGAGGCAACATTGGCTGTTTGTGGTGGTCTTCTCTGCCTTGGTTCTCAAGGCTTGGTCTTGTGCAGCCAGAATTAGCCTCGTTCTTCCACTTCCCTGCTCTTAGCCATTGCCAGGTCTTGTTGTCATCTGCTTTGCCTGCAGTTTTTTTAATGTAGTGGCCACGTGATACTTTGTCTTCCCGTGTCTCTTTTCTATTCTTCATTTGGTCTTTTTTTTCTATTCTTTCATTTTGATCTCTCGAGTACTCAGGGAGCTTCAGTGCATAGCAATAGCACGTAGACTTATACATCACTTTATGATGCTTTCCAGCCCCCTCTAAGCGGTTTACAGAGCCAGCCTCTTGCCCCCAACAATCCGGGTCCTCATTTTACCCACCTCAGAAGGACGGAAGGCTGAGTCAACCTTGAGCCTGGTGAGATTTGACCTGCCAAATTGCAGGCAGGCGGCTGGCTGTCAGCAGAAGGAGCCTGCAGTCCTGCACTCTAACCACTGTGCCACCGAGGCTCTTCCTCACTGCCCTTCAGAGAGTCTTCCAATGCCCTTTTCGCTTCTTCAACCGTCCGATGTACTTGGCAATGTTCCCCGCCCGTCTGTTTTCCTTGGGAGGTAGAGTCTGTCAACACTGATGGGTGGAATCACTGTCATTATTTTTCTGATCTTCCTATCCGGGGCCTTCGGTTCTGCTTGAATCCAGCTCACCAGTATGACCGGAATTGCCCAGGTGGTGATTGCCTTGACCCCATTTCCTCCTCTGAGTTTGGACCTTAAGATCCTTCTCCCTTTCCCGAAAGCGCCTTCACTTCTAACCACCTTCTTGACTGCCCTGTTCTTGACGTGGTCAGTTTGAAGGCCGCCCGGGTGTTTATAGGGACTGTCTTCTTCATCCAGACTCTTGGTGGTCTTTGCAGGGGGCCTCTGGATTCCTTCCGCGTTCTTGTCTTCCCCTGTTGAGGCTAAGCGTGGCCCCTTCATCCAGCCCAAACTCCACGGCAGCCTCTTCAATACAGCCTCTCATTCCTCCCAGAACAGGTAAGCACTGGGTGCCCCGCCCCCCCCAGGAGACATTCTTAGATCTGCTTGGACAATAGCATGGATTCTGGAAGATGCTTTATTTTGGGGGGTCCACATCTAAATGGCAGCCTTTTAACTTACTCGGGGTCAGGGCCTAAGTTGGCTTTACTAGTATAGTCAAAAGTGGGTTTTCCCGGATGTTTGAAGAGCTTCTCAGCTTGAGGTGGGGTTTTTTTCTCCCATCCAGTGACACCATCTGGGGCTGGGCTTGTGAGGAAAGAGCCTGGGGGCCTCCTTGGGGGCCGGTTGCCCCTTTGGGGGAAGAGGGCGGCCTCTCTCTTCCGGGGGTCTCCTGCCAGTTTGAATGCCTAGGCCTTATTCTCTCAGGGGGCCTCAGTGCCACCTTTACGTGGGGCTGCCCTCGGCCCCAGTTCCCTACTGGCTGGCCCTGGAGGAAACGGGGAGGCTGGGGTTACTCAAAGGAGGCCTCCAAAGGCAGCCTAGGCCCTGGAGCAGAGCGCGGGGGGGTGGGGGGTAGGGGGTGGGGGTGTCGTAGCCCTCCTGCCCTTTGGAGGTCGGGACCGCCAGCTGGGTACAGAAGGTGCTGGGCGAAATGGGAGTCCTCACAAGGATAACCGTTAGCGCGGCCGGGGCGGGGCGGGGCGGGGAAGCCCCCTGGGGCGGGGAATCCCGGGCAAATGTGCTTCTGGCGTTGACAAGGCCCCCTCCTCTCGCTCCTGGGCAGAAGGAAGCACCTTGCCTCTGTCCTTTTGACTGTCGCTCCTAGCCCAGCCCTGTGGGCCCTGCCTGTTCCCTGCAATCGGAGTGAAGTCCAAACCTTCTGGACTCCACCGGCAAGAAAAACCTCCCCCCCCCCCCCCCCCCCCCCCCCCCCGTGCCCTGAATCCACTAACCCTGGGCGTGTGAGGAGGAACCGACTTCGGGGAAACTTGAAGTCTGGCTGGGCACATCGCTGTCATTACTGAGGCTTGGTGGGGTGACAGGCAGGACTGGAATTTGCAGCTAGAAAGATTTACATTGTTCAAAAGAAACAGACCTGACGGAGGAGGAGGCAGAGTAGCACTACAGGGAAGAAATAACTACACCTCTACAGAAACTGCATTTCTGCAAAAAAAACCAAAAAAAGATGAAAACCTTCTTGAATGCATTTGGATTGACATCATCAAAGGGAAAAAAAAATGAGTTAGTCATGTGTAAATACTACAGGCAACCCAACCAGAGGAAATGGACGAACTTTTTACTAGTCTGTTAGCTAAAGGGTGCAGGAAACCCATTACGGTAATAATGGGGACTTTATAACCAGTATCAACTGGGGGGCAAAGTTTGCACCGAGTGGGAGATCAAACACATTCCTGATGAGCCTAGCTGACAACTTAGTCCCTCAAAAGGCAAGGAAGGTGACTGCAAGGCCAGTTATACTGGGCTGAATTCTTACTAGCAGAGATACAATGACGGATGGGGTGAGCGACCATGTCATGTGGGAACGGAATATAAGGCGGACATGAACAATGGAACCAAATCAGACTAGTGCCTTAGACTTTAAGGGGGCTGATTCCAACAAACGGAACGCCACGCAACACAGCGGAACGGAAGAGAATGGACGGCAGCTTTCAGGCAGAAAACAGAACCACCTAATTCACTATTTGTATTTGTCTTTAGACAAAAACTGGGGGGGG